CCACCAYTGCTGACAAACCTAGCAATAACACGTGAGTAAAGGAAGTCAGATGTATTCAGTAAGGGTTCAGTTTTAGGGGGTATGGGCAGAAGACTAATACAAAGGAAAGGCATTGATAAAGGAAGACATGGATAATTAAAAGGAGAAACATGATGAATAAGAAATAATCCTAAACTGTTGTTTTAGCTGAAATGAAGGTGACTAATTAAGCTCTACCTCAATGTAACTATAACCATTTATAGGGRTATATGAGTAGCAGATATGAGTGATGGATGATTACACAGCTGTATAATGGATAGATAGAAAATGATAAATGGAGGTAGGCAGGCAAAATATGTTCAATGAAAAAATGTAGCTTTGGAAAGTTTATTTTCCCCATGTGAAGGCTGGGGACTTTAAGTCATTCTTTAACAGCCAGTTTTAATTCACAGCTGCCAATCCTGCCCACAATGGCCGTGTTTGCAGCACATGGGGCAACTTCCACTTCAAGACCTTTGATGGAGACATTTACACCTTCCCTGGGCTCTGTAATTACGTTTTTGCCTCCCACTGCAACGCTCCCTATGAGGATTTCAACATCCAGATTAGGCGTGAGGTGGTGGCAAATGTTCCAACAATCAGCCGCATCACCATGAAACTGGAAGGAGTMGTTGCCGAACTAACCAACGGTGCTGTCATGGTCGATGGCAACAGGTAACTTCATYCACAACACTTCTTTGGTAACCACTGACATTTTTTCCAGTCTTGCCAAGAACTTTTGTGTATTTGTGGGGGGGAAACCATTATGTGTTCTTCAATAAGTCTGACAATTTTACCAACATAAATAGTGAATAAAATGCTATCAATTCCTGTCATAGAAAATCAATCCTTTCCTTAAGGAGTACCTCAAAAATCAAATTTGGATGAAATATTTTGAGAAGTTGGATCCAAATTTARATCCTTAATTGATAATGTTGGACCATTTTACTTTGTTATTCCTTTTCTTTCCCAAAAATACGATATTTTTGAATCCCCACAGATGCCAAATACCACATGACTTTCCCTTCTTCCAATCAAACATTTGGATCAGAAGTTAACTAACAATCTTTCTGCCTTTTTCCAGAGTTCAGCTGCCATACAGTCAATCTGGTATTACGATAGAGAAAAGCAGCATTTATGTGAAAGTTGGCAGCAAAATTGGAGTTTCATTATTGTGGAATGAAAAGGACAGCCTCCTGGTAAGAACAGCTCCTGAACTTGTCTACACCTTCAGAGACCCGAGCTAACCTTTGATTAGGCCTGCCCCATCCTGTTTAGGAGGTTACTACTGCCTTCTTATCTCATAGTGTTGAGCAATTCTTTCTTAGTAAAGACAGGCTTGYATCCACATAGTCTAAAGAAAATTACACGGATTTATGCCTAGTGGATAGCAGACATCTGCTTGAAACAGGATGAAAAATCACTTCCATGATATCATTAGATATAGGTATTATTATTATAGGGCCTAATTACCCTTTCAACTATATTTTTTGGGCAGAATTTCCCTYTCCTAGGCCTTCATTTTTGCTGTGGATATGATTTTCTTCCTGAAGAATCAATAGAAAGTGGCTGAGARCAGTATAGATACCACAGTGAAATCTGAAGTCTCTGTCAATAGAATCGGTAACTTGGACATTGCTATCAAATCTAAGCTGACTTTTTATCCTTCATGTTTTAAGTAAATTACAAAACAAAATTCCACAGATCTGACAAAAAATACTAAGAGTAGGTGGAAGTGTTTTCTCTGGTYTTGAACGTACTTTAGAATGTTTATACTAACTTCTATCAACTTATGATTTATCATTTTAGCTGGAATTGAATGAGAAATATGCCAATCAGACTTGTGGGCTTTGTGGTGACTTYAACGGCTTTCCCCTGTACAATGAGTTCATTTCAAACAGTAAGTGTTTTAAATTAAAAAATTGGTTTATGGGGTCTCCAACAAGCTCTGGTATCATCAGCATTGATATCATMACCATTTCCCATTCTGTTAAATGGTTTACCCAGAAGATATGATTCAATTTCTTCTTAAAAATATGTGGTAAAGAGATCAGAACACGCAATTTAATACTTTGAGTATTAAATCACCATGCTGGTATAACTAATCAGATATCTCCATGAATATGACAAGATTTTCACTAATAAGGTAAATAAATATAGAAATATTTTCAATAAAACAAGAGGCAATTCCATTTTCTAGATAGTACATTTCTTGTTTCATTTTTGCCTCAAAATTGGTATATCCACATTTCCATGCTGATTTCCATAATCTTTGTAAAATTGTATCTTTTTTAACTGTTCCCAGCTTCAGCATATTCCTAAAACTTGTATTACAGCAGTCCCATTGTCCAAATCCCTGTTTAGATTTTTTTCCCCTCTGCCCTGTAGGGGCTAAATACAATCTGGAAAGAGTTTGTTATTTTTTTGACAAAAATCTTCGTGTGCATCTAGGTGTAATAGGCTGAGAATTGTTTCCCAACGTTCACTTTTTCCAGGGTGCTGTACAAAGTAAATTGAGGCAGTGATGTAGTGCTTCCTTTGGAAGGAGTGATGATCACATTTAAAGGCTTAAGGGAGTTTAACTGCCTTGCCCAGTCTTAACCCAAATTCTCGAGAGAAGAAAAGGATAACAGGCAGTTGCTTTGAACAAAAACCTGTGACCTTCACTAWTAAACTTCTTTTTTACAGATGTTAAGATGACAGCCTTACAGTTTGGGAATATGCAGAAAATGGATGGGCCAACAGAACACTGTGACGACTCCACTTCTATTCCGACATATAACTGCCCTGATAATCTTGTAAGGACCTTTTGACTATATTTTTCTTTCAAATTTATCCATTCCCTTCCACAGCTTCACACAGGTCAATAGGAAAAGCCCTCAGGCAAYAACAGCTTAAAGAAGCCTATAAGATTCTGTTACATAATACTTACACAAAATAACAATATCAAACCCTTCTTCCTACCCAAAATTCTTTCTATTTACTGGAAATTGTTTATTTTTTTTTTCTCCAAAGGATGACATATGTGAGAAAACACTGACCAGCTCTGCATTTGCAGACTGTAATGACCTAGTTGATGTTAAAGACTACATTAAGGCTTGCCAAGATGATTTGTGCCGCTCTGCAGAATCTAAAAACAGCTCATGCATCTGTGACACCTTTGCTGAGTACTCCCGGCAGTGTGCTCATGCTGGTGGGCAGCCCCTGGACTGGAGAACCTCAAAACTGTGCCGTGAGTATCACTGGAGAGAGCCTTATTTTATGCTCAGTAACTAACAAACAGCAAGCTCTCCAATTATGCTGAGGATGCAGGAGGAGATACAGGCTATTCAAAATTGAATTATTCATAAAATTCTGATGTACAACTTCCAGCATAGAGACTTCAGCAAAGGAGCTCAGGATTTTAATGCAAACTGAATTAGATACTACCAAAACACTTACATGGATACTCTAACAGGAGTCAAAGTGTAATTTAATGAACTGTGAAAGAAATAAATAAAGGAAAAACAAGAGGAAAGAATGAGGCATACTTTCTTGCTTGTATTCCTGTTTCCTCACAGTGATTTAGCATTTGTGGTTCTCAATTAACTGACTGGATCTTCACAGGTGTATGGCTGCTTAATCACTTATTTGTTTCCTCTTGCTTGATAGTGATGAGTTTGCACTGATTTAAACCTGTGCTTGATTATGGTGGGTAGTTGTTGATACTATCACCAGCATTTGCTCTAAAATAAGAGCCAATTTGTCCTTCTGATGGTATCTGAAAATGCAAATATACTAAAGCTTTAGAAGTTTAAATCTTACATTTCACTAGCAATACAGGTGTTCATGGAAAAGGAGCTTTCAGTAAAAATACAGACTGTGCTGACTCTCTGGGTTCATTACCTTGCTGTCCCTAGAAATCTGGTCATTGAGCCAGTTCAGCCCCAGAGTAATGGAATGCACATCTCAAATGTAAAAAAGGGATCTAGGTGATTAAACTTCCAAATTTTCAAAGCTAGCAGTCAATCTGCAGTTTGGTGTGTTTTTTTTTGTCTAGCTAACAAACTTAAATGGATATAAATATGTATGTGTTTAGTGAACTAGAAATGCTTTTGACAGAAAAATAATATTTCTCTCCCTTTAAATTTCAGCCAAGAACTGTCCTTACAACATGCAGTACCAGGAGTGCAACTCTCCCTGTGCTGATACATGTACAAATCCTGAACGATCTCAGTTTTGTGAAGAACACTGTATTGATGGCTGTTTCTGCCCCCCAGGTATGTTCTTAAGTACTCACATCTCTGATCTCAAAGAACAAGAGGTTCCATGGGGTTTAAATCTCATACAGTTGCATTTTTCACGAGCATTTGTCATGTGTCAGCTGAGAAAAGAGATCTCAATTAATTGCCAATATTCAGAAAGCAGGAAAAAAGTACAGCAAACAGATCAAGACCAATCTTCCAAGCAGCCACCTGTGCTACAACAACYTCCTCTTTCAGAGCAGGTGGAATTTAAGAATACAAAGGTTGAATCCTYCACTCAGCAAAGTGGCATAGTCCTGCTGTCCTCAGCATTGGTATGTCCACTAGCAACAACAGCAGATCTCTCAGAAAGATGATATGTAGGATTTGTAACAMACAAAATGGTGTGTAGGAAAAAATGCCTCTTTAATTGATCAAGCTTTTCTCTTTTTTTTTTTTTTTTTTTTTAATCTAGGGACTGTATTTGATGACATCAACAATTCTGGCTGCATTCCCCAGCAGCAGTGCTCCTGTATTTACAATGGCAAAACCTACGCTACAGGAACTTCTTTTTCAGARCCATGCCAGACCTGGTAACCTTTGTTACTTTTCTAACTCACTGTTTCCTCTCATAYATTTAATGGGTTTAATAGTTTATTATAAGCAATTGCATCACTGGTAATTGATATGTGTATTTAACTGATCGCTACAGTTCCAAGCACCCCTAAAGGACATTATTTGTTTTTTCTAGCAACAGCCATGACTAGCTTTGCACTCTATCTCATGGTGATCAAAGCAAGGATTTACAATGTTTAGATTTCTCACCAATCAATTAAAATGCTTCCTCTTTGTTTATTTTGTTCAAACGTTTGGAATTCTCTAAGGGGAATGAAGTTGTAGTCATTAATGTATTTGCAAATATTTATTTTCTCTGGAGAAAGCAAGGGATGACACAATACAAGCTCGATTTCACAACTGTTAATCCTATTCCTTTGCTCCACCATATCAGCTTTGAAAAGAGATACAGTCTACATCAGGAGTAGATGAGGCATTACCTTTTCTTGTTTATTAATTTATGATACATTTGTATTAAAAAGAAAAAAAAAAAAAAACCCAGAAGATATTTAAACTTGTCATTGTGCTTTATGTTAGCTGAAAAAAAACAATTTATCCAAAACCTGTTTTAGAGAGTTCACCTGTCCAAAGCAGGAAAACAATTAAATAAGCAAGGTGAATTTTAATCAGTCACTGCTTTCAATGTGCTGCATCACAAGTTGACAATGTTTTGGAAAGTCTTAAACTTGGATTCACTGTGTGTCAAACCACTGTACAAACCACTGTCAGATCACTGTAYAGCCTCTTATTCTGGACCACTGTCACTGATTTCACCTTGCTTTATTCTTCCAGTACCTGTAATGGAGGCCAGTGGAGCTGCCAAGACAAGTCATGCCCAGGAACATGTTCTGTAGTGGGAGGTTCCCATATTTCCACATATGAYAAGAGGCATTATGATCACCATGGAGACTGCAATTATGTCCTCTCTAAGGTGGGACTCAGAAGATTCTTCAAAGTCATAAAGCCTCATACATTTATAGAAAGAAAATAYGATTTCAATCAACACTTCAGAAACCTACCACTTCTCACATGCAGACATTAAATTCCCTTCCCCATAGCCAAATATTTGCTACACTGCYATTCCAATGACAATCATCAGTTAATTATTAGGATGTCATGCAATCTGTTACATGTGGTGCTCACTAGAAAATGTCCAGTTCTGTGARAGAGTAACTGAAGAGCATTGTCTTTTTTAAGGATTGGTTTAGTTACATTTTCAATATGATTAATCCACTTTCTTACTGAGCTGTGCAATTTTTGCCATGCTACTCTACTGTATGGTATTTGGCTCAGTGGTAAAACTCTAAAAGTTACACTAACAGCTCCTAAAAGAAAAAATTATAAAACTTTTTTTTCATTTTTGTGAAGCTAAAATACAGAAAATCACTTCAAGTTAACTGATACATTTCACTTGGGTTTTAAACATTTTAAGCATTTAAAAATAACTCACAAGAAATAGAAAAATTGGAAATTAATTATAATTAAAAATATTTAATTACAGATATGTAAGTGAAATGTTTTGAACTTTTATGTGCTTGCCCTTTTTCTTCCTTTTTCTGCATCTGCACAATTCAGTAATGTTACCRTTTGCCTGAAACAGATTTTATTGGAAATTTTTGTCAGAATTTATGCCAGCTACAGAATGAGTTACAGTAGTATTCAATCAAGATTAGAGGCTGGCATGAATAAAACCACCAAATATGAATGTGGACCTTATCTTGATATCCATATGGATATAATCAGTAAAATGCAGATTCTAGTTTTCTTGCTCCTAATCATTACAACAGGACAAAATTGAATCTTCAGCCAAAGAAAGCCAGGAATTTGCAGGAGCTTGTATCTCCTCCAGAAAAAAAAAAAAAACCAAAAAACTTTATCAGAGTTGAGAGAAAATTTTATAGGGAAAGCTTCTGCAATTAGTCTTCTATGAAATAACTTGACTTTCTTTTTTCAGGACTGTAAAGATGAAAAATTTACCATCCTGGTAGAACTCCGCAAGTGTGGCCTAACTGACACTGAGACCTGCTTAAAGTCAGTGACCCTCAACATGAATAAAGGACAGACGGTAAGAACGCAAAATAAACATATTAAAAATACAGGGAGAAAAAAAAAGTAGGGCTTAATCAATCAGGGAACTGCGTTTCTTCRTCAGGTGTTCAGCATATGTGATGAGTACCTGATATTGTTAATCAAGTGAAAAGAAATGGATTTTTTTATGAAAATCAGATCAGCCATAAATTTGGCTTTGTGGAATTTCATTAAGAAATGCATTGTACTCACAAAGCAGAAAAAACCTATTTTCTCTGCCAATTAGATGGAAAAAAAACCATGAGCTTCAAGGTTAGTAACTATAATTACAACAGTTAGGGATGCAATTAATCACTAAGATGTGTTCAAAGAAAATAAAATGATTTAATCCCCTAAAAAGCCAAGAAAGTCCCTTTAAAAGTAATTCTTTAGTGGCAGGGAAAATTAGTAAAGTGTACAAAGTAGAAATAAGGAAGAGGTGAAATTTTTATTTAATATCTGTTTACTTAAAATCACTGTAGCCCTCCTCATTATTACTCTTTGGACTGTAGTTATTCTTCACACATGGTTGGCTGCCCAGAAAGCCAACCTGGGCTACATCCAAAGCAGTGTGGCCACCAGGCTCTGGGAAGACCCCGCCTGGAGTGCTGCATCCAGCTCTGGGGTCCCCAGCATAAGAAGAACATGGTCCTGTGAGAACAGCTCCAGAGGGCCACAAAGATGACCAGAAAGCTGGAGCACATTTCTTGTGAAAGGAAAGACTGAGATAGTTGGGGATTTTCAGCCTGGAGATGAGAAGGCTCTGGAGAGACCTTAGAGAAGCCTTTCAGTCCCTAAAATGGGCCTGCAAGAAAGATGGAGAGGGACTTTTTACTAGAACACAAAGTGATAGGACAATGGGGAATGGCTTCAAACTGAAAGAGGGCAGGTTTAGATTAAATATAAGGAAGAAATTCCTTMCTGTGAGGGTGGTGAGGYACTGGAATACATTGCCCAGAGAAGCTGTGGAAGCCCCATTCCTGGAAGTGTTCAAGGTCAGGRTGGGGATCTGAGCAACCAGGTCTAGTGAAAGATGTCCCTGCTCATGTCAGGGAGGTTGGAACTGSATGACTTTTAAAAGTTCCTCCCAACCCAAACCATGCTGTGATTCACTGAAATGCCTTTGTTCCGCTTTCTTATCAGATCGTSGAGGTCAAACCTGATGGTGGTGTGTTTGTGAACTCCATCTAYACCCAGCTGCCCATGTCAGCAGGTAGTTATTTTCTCTGACAGTGAATCAAATGAGTGCTTTTGAAGTAAAGTAGGATGTTTGGTGACACAAAGAAATGACAGGACAAGCACAGGCAAGAGTTCAAACAGTAGCAAACARCATTTATAGTCTCCTGATTTGATTACTCTCAGATTTACTTCCTTCTCACTGCACAAAACGGAAGGCAGAAGACATCTGTTTACCTCTTCTACTTTTTTTTTTGTTAACTACTACCCCTGTGCTCACACTTGCTTAGAAAGAAATTTGATTTTTGTTCTCTGTCTCAATAACTAATGATTCCATGCAATATCTTTGATATCTGCTCATTTTCCCTCTCCAGCAGTGAAGGCTCCAATCTGTACAAGCATAGAAACAAAACTAGAAGCATTCTTTTTAACTCTCAGTGCCACACAGTTTTCCCTACTTATTCTCTTCAAAGAAGTAATGTCTAACTGCTTATGTTGAGGTGGTAAATGAAGTTAATAATTGGTAGTCACAAACAAATTTTGAACTGTGAATTTTGACAGATATTCAAAATTAGATAAAAATTCAAAAAGAACAGTATCATATTTCTAGCATTTGACCTCATTCAGAAAGTGACCATTTTGTTTCTCATGTGTAGCTAATGTCACCATGTTCAGACCTTCATCRTTCTTCATGATCATGGAAACAAGCTTTGGCATGCAGGTTGAAGTGCAGTTCACACCCATGATGCAAGTGTCTGTSCGCCTGGAGGCTTCTTTCAAAGACCAGACTTGTGGTGAGTGAATGAAATGGAAGGACACCTTGATTCATGTCCTTTTTTGCAGTATGAGCAGTAYAAACTTTTCACTGCTTTTCAACAGGTCTCTGTGGAAATTTCAATAACATCCAAACTGATGATTTCAAGGTCATAAGTGGAATAATTGAAGGGACAGCATCAGCATTTGCTAACACATGGAAAACTCAGGCTTCATGCCCTAATGTCCAGCAGAGTTTTGAAAATCCTTGCGCACTCAGCATTGATAATGGTGAGTTCTTCTTAGAATTTTTCTGGTTTGTTTTGGTTTTTTTTTTTTTCCTTTTTCTATAGATCTCTGCATTTTGATAATTGCATCACTGCTTCCAAAACTGAAAGATATTTTATTGGTTAGATAAAAACCATCTCTTGGAAAGCAAAGGTAAAAATAGACTTACATATTTGGTAAAAACATGCATCTGAATTCAGAAACAAATATTCAAAATGGAAGCACTGAGGATAAGTAACAAGGAGAGTGACAGAAGCACAAGTGGAGCAAACTGCAAGGCCACTGAAAATAAAGTAGTGTCCAACCTGACAACTTGGTGTCAGAGAAGTTGATCACAGGAGCATCTYTGGAAACCTTTTATTCATCTGCTTCAGCAAGAACTCTTCTTTGATTTTAGGAATCTTAACCTGCAAGCTGAGTGAAAGGAAAAAAAAAAAAAAGGCAGCAGAAGAAAAGATTTAATGGAATGTCAGAGCTGTCTTCATAGGCCAGGGCAGCATGGGTTTGTGACTGATGAAATACAAAGAGTAATGTGCATTTGTATTGTTACTTCTTTTCACAGAAAAATACGCTCAGCATTGGTGTGGACTGCTCACTGACAGCACAGGACCTTTTGCTGCTTGTCATTACGCAGTGAATCCCGCTGTTTACCACACGGTACTTTGTCAGACTGTTTTTCCTTTTAGAAACAATAGAAATAGGAATTGTTCCAGACATGTCTTTCACAATGCCTATATCCTCCTTGCTGTRCTGCAGTACTTCCTTCTTTCAACATGTGTTTCTCTTTGTGTTGAAACATTACTTCAATTGTCAGTCTTGGCTTCAAGCTCATGACTTGTTTGCAGATGAAAAGGCAGCTATTTACTCCCGGATGGTTTTACACATTTGGCAGATAGTGTATGTAGAGGCATGTCAAATGCTTGTCACATTATCAGCCTGGCATCTCATTAATAACCACTTGGAACAGAAAGCCCATTACATAATTACCATCCTTCTGTTACAAATGTGTTGCAAATCATTCTCCTCAGTAGGAGTCATCCAGGTATCAGCACTGGTGGAATGCTGTGTCTGGACTGCACCTTGTGAATAGAGCTTCGGATGCTGTTGTGCAGCATATCCAGTAATAYGGTTTCAGAGGACCAAGTTGTGAAATATATAGCAGACTTTAGAACCACCATTTCCTAATTAAAACTGCAGACACCGACTGAACTAACATTACCTGCATTTTCCCCTGCCAGGGACCTTAGACAAAGGCTAGAAACTGATACAGCTGTGTTAGTTGTCTAAGAGTGAGCATATCTGATGAAGGATTAAGGAATAAGATCAGAAAGATAATGTTCATTGTTTTTTTAGGGATTCATAACCAGTGCTAAGACCTTATTTTTCTCTCCATTCTTAGAACTGCATGTTTGACACATGTAACTGTGAAAATAGTGAGGACTGTCTGTGTGCAGCCCTGTCTTCCTACGTGAGAGCTTGTGCTGAAAAAGGAATCCAACTGCAGGGATGGAGGACCGATGTCTGCTGTAAGTACTCTCCACTATCCCATTTACTAAAAACACACATCAATAAAAATTGCTGATCAGAGATTATTTTTTACTCATTTCTAGACAAATCAGTAAGTGATAAGGAAGGAATTTTGTTAAGTGCGCTCCTGGAAGTAATTCTCTGCTGTCCCCTTAGAATCAATCCATTGCTATTGAGAGTGAATATGAATAGATGGGAGACGTGGCTTAATTAGGAAAGGGACTGTTGTTACAAAAATGCCTCTACCTGTTCTATGCAACTTCGAGTTTCACTGCAGCTTTACAAGTATCACAAGTTATTGCAGACATAATGTRATGTATTAAGATAACAGCACTAGCATTGTTTATATGTTATTTTKACTGCCTATTTTTTCACATGGTAATTTACCATCTGGAATTAATAATCTATTTTATTTTCCTCACCCAAGCAAAATACACCACCTCATGTCCCAAATCCCTAAGCTACAGCTATACCATCTCTTCCTGCCAACCCACCTGCCGGTCTCTGAGTGAGCCTGATGTCACATGCAACATTAAGTTTGTCCCAGTTGATGGCTGCACCTGCGTAAATGGAACCTACATGGATGAGAGTGGCAAATGTGTGCCTGCTAATGAATGCCCCTGCTACTACAGAGGATCTCCCATACCATTTGGAGAAGTTGTCCAYGAAAATGGGCGTGTATGGTAAGTGAATCTATTTTAAAACATGCAAACAATAGCATGTGTATTTTCTCATTAAAATCTGCTAGTGCAAGCTGGCTTCATCCTGACTCCTGAAATTCAGGATGCTCCCTCTTTAGTTTCTTCAACTTTTTTTTCACTTTATTTTCAACTTTTATGAATGGTACACATTCCCCTGAGCTGCAATATGGGGACAGAGAGCAGAATGAAAGCACTACAAAGAAAAGTGAAATGGTTTGTGACCTGATGATGCCCATTTACAATACCAGCCAGAAGGATCTGCTGAACTACAGGCTTGTCAGCCTGATGTGGTGCCCGGGAAGGGCATGAAGCAGATCATCTTTAGTGCCATCCTGTGGCATGTACAGGGTAAACATGGGTTAAGGCCCAGCCAGGATGGGTTTGTGAGAGGCAGCTGCTGCTTGRCCAACCTGATCTCCTTCTATGACAAGGTGATCCACTTAGGGGGTGAGGGAAAGGCTGTGGATATGTCTACATGGATTTAAGTAAAGCCTTGGACATTGGGGAAGTGATTGTCCCCCTGTACTCAGCCCTGGTGAGTCTGCACCTTGAATCCTGTGCTCAGTTTTGGGCCCATCACTACGAGAAAGACATTTTGGTGCTAGAGCACATCCAGAGAAGGGCAACAGAGTTGGTCTGGAGCACGAGTCTGATGAGGAGCAGCTGAGGGAGCTGAAGTTGTTTAACCTGGACAAAAGGAGGCTCAATGGAGACCTTTGCACTCACTAAAACTGCCTGAAAGGAGTATTCAATGAGGTGTGGGTCAGCCTCTCCTCCCAAGTAAGCAGTGAAAGKATGAGAGGAAATGGCTCAAGTTGCACCAGGGGAGGTTTAGATTGGATGTTAAGAAACATTTCTATACTGAAATGGTTGTCAAGCACTGGAACAGGTTGGAAGTAGTTGTATCACCATCCCAGCAAGTATTTAAAAGCCATGCAGGTGTGGCACTTAGAGACATAGCTTAGTGGTGGAATTGGCAGTGCTGGGCTAATGGTTGGACTTWTCCAACCTAAAGGTTTCTGTGATTCTCTAATATTTCTAGATCGATAGAGCAATAATAYTTAGGTGCATTTTTTATATAATTCCATACTCTTTCAARTATGAAGTTATGACAACAYCAGCAAGGAGAGATCTTATGAGAATGTAATTAAGAAGTAGTGGCATATATGCATTACAACCTATGAATTTTCCTGCTAAGCAATAAAGGATATCATATCCTGCTAAGCAATAAAGGAAAGCAGCATGTGTAGAGGTATTGAGAGAAATTCTTTCCTGAGACTGTAAAACAGCCTTTTGGAATTTCTTTAAAAATTCTGAAAATTGACAAGGGATAAGTAGCTCTCAATCTCAATATATGGTTTGAGAGGAGAGGAAAAAATTGATTGTTTTCCCCTCTCTCATAGCACTTGTGTCCAGGGAAGACTGAATTGCATTGGAGCACCAAATCCAACTCCAGGTAAAAATTATCTTCTGCTTATTTTTTTTTCTCTTTGCCTGGTCTTGCACAGAATAGTTCATAGAATTCATTCTTCTTAATGTATTTTTAACAGATGGATTTCTCACTTAGTCATAGTTCTACAGTTATCATAAAAGACAGGAGTGAAACTAGATTAATCATAAAACCTCTTTTTATATGAAGACTTTTTTTCAGAAATACTGTGGGGGCTGTTTTTTTCTGGACATTCAGTGCTCCGAAGTGAATCTWATCAGCAGATTGAACAGGAACAACAATCTCTACCAACTGAAATAGGGAATTTCCAAAGAATTTGTAGGTGGTTTTAATGGCTACAGCTGTGGAATAAATCCTGTGCCACTTCTTTCCTTCCTCTAGTCTGTGAATCTCCCATGGTCTACTTCGACTGTAAAAACATCACAGCAGGAACAACAGGAGCAGAATGTCAAAAGAGTTGCCAGACTCTGGATATGCAGTGTGTAAGTATGTCATGGCTGAACGAAATGGTGCTTCCAGGTTTTGTCTGTGCTGAAGTAATTGATCTCTCTGATATATTCCAAATCTACAATACTGATACATTATTCTTGTAGCAAGAGCCTAAAACCATGTTATGAAGCATCACCAATGGGATCTTTGGATCAAAATGAAGTAATATCCAAATTAATTCTTAAGATTACTGTCTACCTCTCTTCAGATACTGCAGGTAACAGTAGTGAAAAATCTAGGGCTCTACCATGTTTGACTTCTGTAGGAGAAAATTGCTGGCTGAAGATTGGCTAGGACRAGTAATCCTTTCTCATACCATGCTGCAGTTATGAACTTCTCGCGCATCTAATTATGTTACTCCACTTAAGTTCTTGGTAGCTATTTCATGCTATTTCATGAATAAGTACCATATGAGATAAATAGATTTCAATGTAACTCAGCTAAACTGAAAAAAAAATATTACTTGTCTTTAAAAGTCCATTCAATCACAAATCTCCCACTATGAATTGTAAGATCCAATGTGTTTTTTAAATTTCACAGGTTCCAGCAGAAAATCAGGATTGGTATACATAAAACATTTATCTTTAACAGATTTATATTCTGTCAAATCTATGGCTAATAACTTCTTCTTTGTTCCATTATCCTTTAATTACTTCATAGTTCTCTCCTATGACGATAAAAGGCACCTTTTATGAGAATTTAATCTTCCTTTTTCTCCTGTGATCATTTCACCCTAAAATGTTTTTCTCTTGTCTTTTGCAGTATAGCTCACAATGTACATCTGGCTGCGTGTGCCCAGATGGGCTTGTATTGGATGGGAACGGTGGTTGTATTCCTGAAGAGGAATGTCCATGTATTCACAATGAAGCCATGTATCAGCCTGGGGAAAAGATCAACGTTGACTGTAACACCTGGTAAATATATCTGCAGAAGTAGCATTCCTGGTAGCATCATTTGCCTTTCTGAAGACCTTAAAATAATACTGCAGTGAGGAAAGATTCAGATTTSACATTTAAATCAGATGATGGATCTTTTAGTTTTGGGTTATACAGTATGAGCAGGTTGCCTTCTGATCTATATCAGATGGCCAAAGCACAGAGTGGGAGGAAACCTTTAGTACTACAGAGTTCATTGAGTATCTTGTTTTGCAGTTAAGGTATTCAAAGAACTTCACTTCACAAAGTTAAGGTATTCAAAGAACTTCACTTTAATTCTCCACATGGAAAATGTAAAAGACTATTTTAACTCCAGAAACAATATAGCATTTAGCAGGGATGAGTTGCTAAACAAATGCTGATTGTTCAGATATGTCTAAAYAAAAACAGTGAGTAATTTTATTATTAAAATATTACATTCTTTTTTTTTTTAGTGTATGCAAGAATAGGAAGTGGGAATGTACCAAAGATCAATGTCTGGGCACCTGTGCTGTTTATGGAGATGGTCACTACAATACCTTTGATGACAAACGGTTCAGCTTCAATGGGAATTGTGAATACACACTAGTCCAGGTACTGATGGTTGGCAATAGCAAATCAGAGGTAATCTTGATTGTGTCTGTAAAAATAATGTATTTCTAAATATTATTCTTTACCCAGGACCACTGTGGGAAAAGTGGCTCAGCCAATGGAACCTTCAGGGTTGTCACTGAAAATATTCCCTGTGGCAACACTGGGACAACTTGCTCAAAATCTATCAAGGTCTTCTTAGAGGTAAGAAGGTTTTGCATAATGACCAGTTTTGTTCTGTACCTGCTAAGGCTTAGGAGAAACCTCGATTCCTAGTGCTTCAAAGAAGTTGGAAAATATTTTTAAAAGCAATTCAACTATTAAATTAGGTTTACACAAGATTCAAATGAACAATATGGTAGTTCATCCTACCTTTCTATGTTTTCTGCTTCTCACACTACCTTATGCCACCCACTTAGTAAAGATCTAAAGGAAAATAGTCTTTAGCAGAAATTTTGCCTATTGTGTCAGAAGATTCTTACATTGTATGCAATGTAGTTCCTCCATGACAGTAAAAAGACACCTTTTTGATCTACACCATTTGAAATATCTGTTGCCACACTTCCAGGAAGCTGAGGTTTGAACTACGTAGTTTTGATTTATTGCATTTTGATAATTTGTTTTCATTATACAAACTATTTGTAGTACTCTTAAAAGCAAAAAGAACATATTTGAGAGCACAGCTGCAGCTACTGAGCTCATTTCTCACTACMTTTTGCCTCTGATTCAGAGCTATGAGCTGATCCTTGGTGAAGAGCGTGTCAGTGTCGTCAAGAGAGGAGAGAATGATGAGGTACCATACACAGTGCGCTACATGGGAATGTATTTCGTAATTGAGACCAAAAGTGGTGTGATCCTCATGTGGGACAAGAAAACCAGCATCTTCATCAAGCTCAGCCCTGGTTTCAAGGTGAGGAATAGCAGCCAAATGGCAGTTTACAGTCCAGGTTTGACTGGGTGTGAATCTTGTTGAGAACCTGCCAGGACCCCAAACAGAGATGTCTCTAGCATTCCTGCAGTTCATCCCACRTTGTTTTCCATTTTTCTGGTACCTCAGGAAGACATGTCATCATCCTGCTGGTGTTCTGTTTCACTGCCTATTTGGCCTGACAGAATTTGATTTAGMAAAACTATTTTGGATTTGACTTTGTTGAAATTACACACTGAACTTTGCTAAAGGTTGTCAGACTTACTAAAATTACATAATGATTTATGTAATACGTATGTATTACATAAATACATACGTATATCATATGTATACATATGATTTATACATATGTATAAATCAACTGAGTAGACTTGATCTTGAAAATAATCCACTGCTTCTAGTTCTCATTGACACACCAATCAYCACACTTCAAGAACAAAGAAGTGTATTATGAGTGAATATTATGAGTGAAAGCCTCTTATAAGTTACCAAGTACTTGTCAAGCATACAACTACACAGGTGATAAAGAAAATTAATTCCAATTGTCATACTCCTTATCCTATGGAGAAGTGCTTATGACATATAAGCAYTAAAAACTGTAGTAAATACAGAATTTGTTATCTTACTGCATACCACAATGACATTTAAATTAGGTATTTAAATTAAGTAATTTAGAATTAGATATTCCAACTTGTTTCAGCACCATAGGTTCTTTTGCTGCCTCATCCACTGGTATTTTATAAAAATAGTAGTAATACGGAAAGTATGCACCTTGAATGCACAGAAAAAGCATCTATTGCAGCCTACTACAGTTGTACAGATCTGTACATTCAGAATGAGTGTTATTTATGGATGCTTAAAGAAAATATAATTTCTTTTTGTATCTGTAAGGAATCTTAATGGTAAAGACTCAATGAGTAATTTAGGTGTTGAATTGGTAATACTTATAGGTTTATAATAGTTATAGAAGGTTGTTTTTTTATATGTACAGCTATTGTATAAAACAAGGCTTAAATGAAAAGGTTTGTCAGCTGTGAATCCTCATTTCCTTGTTAAAGATCTACGTCAAAGACAGAAGGTTACAATGACAAAGGTGGTTTTATTATTCATAATTATAAGGAAAAAGTCAAGGGAAGTATCCTTGTAGCCTTAGTGGTCATATTCTGTTCCTGAGGAAACAGAGTATGAAGAGTTCATGACTGACAGAATGAAATGCCACTATTCTAAGACCTGAATTTCAAGTATTCTTTCAGTCTCAGATTTTGTTTCAAGTTTTCTCACATCCATTGTTATTTACTTTGTTTTGCAGGGTCAGGTCTGTGGTCTCTGTGGAAATTATGATGGCAACAGCGTCAATGACTTTACTACAAGGAGTCAGTCTGTAGTAGAGAATGTCCTGGAATTTGGAAACAGCTGGAAAGTATCTGCTACATGCCCTGATGCTTCCAGTGTCAAGGACCCATGTTCTGCCAACCCTTATCGGAAGTCCTGGTCAGAGAAGCAGTGCAGCATCATCAACAGCAACGTCTTTGCTGCCTGTCACTCTCAGGTATTACCAGGGCAGAAGTCTACTGTGTGAAAACTAAGTTTGTGTGTTATTGAAAGTGCTGTTCTCACAACTTTTAACATGCATGCCTTATTTACTAACATGTCTCACTTCAGATTGTGCCAGGAAAACTTCAGTCTGAATTTATCTCAATGCAACAGATTTATAGTCCCTACCTGTAAGAAATAAAAATACATTTACAAAAGAAAAATAATCACAAAAGAATGATTTCATAATTACTATGTATTTCTTTGCAGCCTGAATTGAATAAAAATTCTCATATACCAGGTACAGAAGACAAGATCAATGAAATAATAACATATGAATGAAGCATCCACATAACCTTTTGACACCAAATACACAACAAATGTTGTCAGGGAACTGTGCAGTAGCCTCGTGATTTTTTGAAAATTAATCTAACCTTCTACCATGATACAAGTCCTGTATCTGCCAATACAGGATTTGGACATATCATTCAGTGTCTTGCAACAGAAAAAGAAATTAGCAATGTAGGCCTTTTCTCTGAGATACCACAAATGTAAGAAAATCATTCTAGCAAAGGTTRGAAATAATTTAGAAGGCAGGATGCACAGTATTATATTTCTGTTTAATAACAGGTTGAACCAGCAAAATACTACCAAGCATGTGTGACAGAYGCTTGTGCCTGCGACAGTGGAGGAGACTGTGACTGCTTTTGCACAGCAGTAGCTGCCTATGCTCAAGCATGCAGTGAAGTTGGTGTATGTGTAGCCTGGAGAAGCCCATCAATTTGTCGTAAGTTTTATGTCAAAAACGCTTCTGAAAGAGTAGCTAAATGTRCAGTATCTTACATATGTGCACTAAAATCTCACTGTGTACATTTTTTGTGCTTAAGCTATTTGCTCTTTTTTCCTTCTCCTGAACATGCCCAACTTTCTCTTTCTCTTTAGCACTGTTCTGTGATTACTACAATCAACAAGGAGAATGTGAATGGCACTATAAGCCTTGTGGTGCTTCYTGTATGAAGACCTGTAAGAACCCAAGTGGAAAGTGCCTCAATGACTTGCCAGGTTTAGAAGGTAAAAATAGCTGCAAGTACCTTCTAGTGGTACATATTATTATATTTTCAATTATCTTTAATGGAATGTATTTCCCTCATCAGCTGCATTTACACAATTCAATTTTCTCTAATATCGTTACATTCACATGAATGGAGGCAGAGTATGGAAACTGGAGTTAAGAAGATCTTTAGGACTAAGTTCTTGTGGATGTGCTCTGCTGATTGTACTGACCCTGCATTACTTCCYAGTTATTGCAAAACATAAAGTAAAAACATTATGACTATTAAAAACAAGACCTGCAAATGCATTCTGTGCAAATAAAATCTTCGCTGACTGTATCTCATTCTTACCTTTTTTACCCTGTACATGCCCCCCTTCCTTCCTTCAGGCTGCTACCCTAACTGTCCACCAGACAAGCCATATTTCCATGAGGATCAGATGAAGTGTGTTAGTCTCTGTGACTGTTATGATGATGAAGATGGAAAGATATATAAACGGGATGAATGTAACGTATGGTAAGACTTTACATACCAGTCTCATCATGTACAAGGAAAAAAGATCAAAACACCAGGGGCAAATTGTATGTTCTGTTATGTGACAGGATTARTTTATGCTATCTGTGTAAAAGTAATGCCTTACAATCTAATGCCAGTTTTCCTACTACATTAATAAGAAGTTTTTATGTGCTTTTATGTTCTAATGATTTTGTTCCTGATTGTATTGCAAATTCTCAGCATAAAGATACATCAAGAACAAGGAGTCCTTTATGACTAGGATTCCTCTATGTCACATTCCTGTGGCAAGAAAAATGTTGTGCCATGAGTAAAGATATCTAATACTGACCTACTTCCAAGGGTTTTATCAATACATGCATTGTTTGAGCATTTAGACTCTCCCTTTCAGCCTGAAATTTAGCATAAAACCATTACAAATGCAAGGAATATGATAGGAAGGAAAAAAGGAAAGTCTTCCATAAGACTTCTGTAACTTTGCATAATATGTAACCTCACTTCTATTTTTAAGTTCAGGTTTAATAGAGAGGAAGATTTTGGAAAATAATGGCCAAATAGAAGCCATAATGAACAGAAGACTCTAGGAATAAACACAGATAAAGTGCCTTGCCTTTATTCTGACAGTATCTGACAGAAAGAGGACTAATAAAATTACATCACACTCACAAAATATATGGGGTTTTCTGCTTTCTGTTTCAGTGAGTGCACCTCAGAAGGTTTACAGTGTGAGTTCGATGATACAGGTAAGACAGCTGAAAATAATTATTTAGAAAACAAAATATTGGATATTTCAGATGCCTGAACTGACAATAAACTTCTTCTGAATTACAGCCTGCAACTGCATTTATGAAGGGAATAACTATAAATATGGCGAACTCATCTACAACACCACAGACGGGACTGGATGGTGTTTCAGTGCAACATGCGGGGTCAATGGAACAATAAGCAGAGACATCTTTAAATGTGGCATTCTTACAACAACCCCATTTGTATTTTCCACAAGTCAGCCTACAACTACTGCTACAGGTATGCATGTATAATCTTTAAAATAACTGAAAAATCTCTGTAAGTGACTAAAAATTACCTGACAGGGAGGACCTTCTCATCAGTTGATGGTATATGATTTTACTTTAAACTGTTGATGTCTACGGTGCCAACAATTCACCTGGCAGCTTCAGCTGAAAGAGCAGACCACAGTCAAGGATGTAGAAATTAAAGCAGCATTTCTCAGAAACTCAGTCTTCTCCGTTTCACCATAGTGTTTCCAGGGGAAAAAAGAATAGAGCTTATTAATCATTGCATCCGGGAGAATTTTCTCATTTCCTTGCAAACAAAAACCAGGAGTTCTAGACCAGCTTCTGAAAACATGAAAGACAATTGCTGCCATTTCTTAAATTACTGAGCACATAAATACAAACTGATRATATGAAAGTTAGAGGGAATGTTTAAACTGTTTGTAATTGTTCTTTGGAAACTTTCCTAGTTGTGTTTAATATCCAAATCAACAGTTTCCTTCTACTCTTGGAGTATGGTTCTACATTATTCCTGCAGTTAATTAATTACAGTGACCAGTATTGTGAGAAATATATCCACAAAATTATATGCAGCAAGAAAACTAAATAATACTATTTAAGTCTTCTATTAAATAGCATTCATATGGAGAAAGGCTTATCTATTCTACTGATCATTTTCCTAATGCCAAGAGTTTTAAAGGAAATCCTGATAAAATACCCAGAAAATATCTATTAGGTTATGTATTTCATATATAGTATATGTGTATTCTCTATTATAATGTACTATATATAAAATACATATGTTAAGTACATATTTTATATTTTATGTTTACAAATATGTTACATGTCATAATATTGAACTAAGTAGACCAGTCATTAACTGTAAAAATATTTTAAAGTCTGCATGGTTACGCAGTTAGGTGTAAATAAACACAAATACCCAGGAGAATAAACCTCTACTTACACCATAGCAATTATGAGATCCACTATTGAAGTAGTGACATACTATGCAAAGAATATCAGATTGCTTATATTTAGCTACAACTCAAATAAAGTACCTCTAGAATAATAATACAGGCAAGAGGTCAAAACCTACTTTAGAAATTAAATTYGAGTCTACCAAAGCAAGCTCATTCAAATTAAAATACTAAATTATATAAAAAATTATTTACCACAAAAAAATGTTATGGAAGATGAATGATGTCTTCCTGGAACTCTCTTTAATAAGAACGGACAAGACTTATGTTTTCTCCTTTAAATTACAGAAATGACAACTGCAACACCAGTGACAACTGTTTGTGTGAAAAATGTGTGTGAGTGGTCAGAATGGTATGATTCCACTCAGCCTGAAAACAAAGAGGAGAGTGGAGATTATGAAACATTTCAAAATCTCAAGGATAAAGGATACAGTGTGTGTACAAACCCAAGCGAAGTTCAGTGCAGAGCCAAAGAACACCCAGATACAGAAATTACCAACCTTAACCAAACAATARAGTGCAGTCAAAGCAGAGGATTAATTTGCAACAACCAGGACCAAGAATCTAAGAAGTGCTATAATTATGAAATCAGAATATTATGCTGCAGATACATACCATGTTCAGAAATACAAACTACAATGCCAACAACCACAGGAGAATTCACAACTACTGCTGCAGAACCAACAACGTTTACAGTACAGACACCAGTAAAACCAACAACMCAAAAACAAGAAAGTGAAGTAACTACAACTCAACCTGAAGACAGAGAAAGAACGACTCCTCTGACCGAAACATCAGTAGCAGCAACGACATCACAAGTCACCACAACAGCTTACCAAACCACATCAACTGTAGCWGAAACCTTCACTGCAGCAACCCAGGCACCAACATCTGCCACGACAATCTCTGAAATTAAAATAGGAACCACTGCTGGAACRACAGCTGTCCCCACTACCACAGCCACAGCCAGAGAGGGAACAACCATCATCGAAACCACCACCAACACCTCTCCCCCACAGACGGAAGGAACAACCACCATCACTGAACCAACAACAGCCGTGCCCACTCCAGCCACCAGCACTGCCAGCACCTCCAGAATAACCGAGGGAAGGACCACGACAGCCACCGCCACCTCTGCTCCAAGAGAAGCCTCCACTGCAGCGACTGAAGCTCCAACATCTACCACAACAATCTCTGAAGGTAAAATAAAAACCACTGTTGGCTCTACAGCTCTCCCAACTACCACGGCCACAGCCAGAGAGGGCACGACCGCCATTGCTACCACCACAAGGACATCTCCACCTGAGACAAAAGGCACAACCAACATCATCCCAACAACAACTGTGCCCACCCCAGCCACTAGCACTGCCAGCACCTCCAGGATCACTGAGGGAAGCACCACAAGAGCATCAGCTACCACTGCTCCAAGAGAAGCTTCCACTGCAGCCACCGAAGCCCCAACATCTGCCACGACAATTTCTGAAATTAAAATAGGAACCACTGCTGGAAC